TAAAAATAATTAATTAAAATTTAAATCTAAACTTTAAACCAAATCTAGATTTGATGTGATGAGTTTAGAGTGTTCAGATTATCGGAACGGGTTCGCGAAGAGTGGCTTGCGTGCACAAGTAATGTAGCTAGATGGATGATTTAGGTAGCTGTCAATTAACAATTAATGCATGTAGAGATGAGATAAGATATTTGTTTCCAAGTTGAGGAGACGATAGGTGGTTGGTCTCTGTCAATCTTTCATTAAATGTGCCATTATCTTTGACGTTTCAACGTTTTCCTTTGTGGACTGGCCGGCCAAAGATAGAGTTTGATAGGTAAGATTTTGTTTTTGAAATTAAAGATTGATCTGCTCTGCTTTCTATATATGGATAGATAGATTATATTGTGTCCCTATTCTGGGATTAATTTGTTGTCCAAGCAAAAACTAAAAAACAGCATATGATAATTATATATAAACGAAGAGCTTAAACCCAATAAGAATAACATATCGAGTTGACAGTGTGAGCTTTGATATGTGTGAATCGTATTGGGCTTAACGTGTTGACTTCTATATTGTTTGCTTCCGTCAGTCTCTCGACCACTCATCGTCATAAAGTTATTCCATTTTCAACAATGGCTACCTCGGTTGTGACTGAATTTCCTGGATATTTGTATTATTTAAGTTTTGCTAAATTTCAATTTTTATTGATATAAATATATATATATGTAAAAGTTCGTAATAGTTTTTTAAATAATAATGATAATTCTTAATATTAATTTTTGGTTGCTTATGCTCAAAATAATACAAATGAAACTTTTTTTTTGTTTGTAAATTCAGAGTATCCCGAGTCATTTTAAATTTGAGATTAATCTTTGTCAGACCGAGTACACCTTTTAGAATTCGAACTTGGGTTCTCTTTCTTTCAATGCAAGACTACTTATCATATCAACCGACAACTTTTTGGTACATTAATTGAAACGTTTTTGTTCAGACGGGAATGAATGAAATTTGGTGAAACTTTTTCATTTTAATTCTCTTGATTATTTGTCGTCATTTGGTTTATTTCATTTTGCAAGTGACAATAGAGGCTGCAACTAACATCAATTGGTCATGGCCACTTGCTTTATGTTTGTAGTGATTAATCGATTTTCCACGTTGTTTCAAATTCCATTAATTTCTTCTTTCTTTTTTGGTAAGAAAAGAGGCCTCAGGGCCAAAACAAAAAAAGAAAGAAATCAAGGGGGCAAGTGCCCAGAAACTTCCGTAGCTCGTCTTGCAACCTCAGCATCTTCAACCTTACCTTTCTCAACCAGATCTGTTAGCGCCGAAGGAGTTTCCTCCCACATATGACAACCTAACTCCAACCCAAACCCCAGTTTCGCCAAGGCATCAGCACAAGCATTCGCCTTCCTGTCCACTTCCATTAATTTCATTTAGCTGTGTACTTAATTAATTTTCCCATTCCTCACATTTGAGAAATCTCTGCGCTCATCTCTAAGAATCTCACAATCTAGCAAAATTATCGGCATTGGCTCAACAGGAAAAAAGGACCAGTAATATTTGTGTTTCAAAATCATTTTTAAATATGTAATAACTTAGCCTAAACTCAATAAATTTTAGAGTTAAGTTGTATTCATCACTCTAAAGTATACTTTTTACCAGTAGTACTTAGTCTCCTAAATTAATTTTTGTTCCATCCAACATCTCAAATTTTTTTCCAGTATCATTCAATATCCTCAATAATTTTTTTTTTTTAATGTATCCCACGATGCTTTTAAATCGCACCGAGTATCTTAAACTCAGAATACTCATTATTACTGAGAAAGTACTTTAAGTGCAAAATTTACCAGACTAACTTGAAATTTATTACTTTTTGCGTGGTTTTGCTCATCAAGTATTTTCTTAGTAGCAATAAGCACTCTATATTTAAGATGCCAAATGCTACTTAAAAATTATCTCATTACTACTGAGAAAATATTTGAGGAGCAAGATCACACAAAAAATTTACAAATTTGAAGTCAGTATCGTAAAGTTTGCTCTTAAAATATTTTCTTTGTAAGAATAAACACTCTAAATCTAAGATACTGAGTTATTTGGGGGGGAAAAACTCTTTATTGTGTTAGATACATCAAAAATTACTGAGGATATTGGGTGCTGCTTAGAAAATATTATGGAATAAAAATTATTCTAGGAGACTAAGTACCACTAGTAGAAAGCATAATTTAGGGTGCTAAATATAACTTTAACTCTAAAATTTATTTAGGCCAAGTTATTCCATATTTAAAATTGATTTTGAAAAACAAATATCAGTTGTATTTTTTTTTTCTTGTTGAGCCAATGCTGGTAATTTCCTAAACGGTGATGTTTTTAAGAGATGAGCATTCGGTGGACTCCTTTCATCCCATCGTGTCCCACCAACCAAACATCCTCATTAACCCTAATTCTCTCAGTCCTCTGTCAGTCTCTTCATTCACAATCATCGCGAGATCATCATCATTTCCATCACTCTCTATCTTCATCGACCATCATCTCGCGCCCATCACTCAGACAATCTGATTGATTAAGTAATGAATATCTTTCCTTTTTCTGGGCCCAAAAAAAAAAAAACGAAGAACACACCTTACTGATACGTTTTGCACATCATTACTAAGTGCTGCTCTATTTTATGATTTCTTTTAAGGTTTATAATTAATACTCTTCTGGTCCTTAATATAAGATCTATTTAACTAATTTGATTAGAATAAGAAAGTTAGGTAAGTTAGTTAATTATAAAAAATATAACATGTTTTTTTTCTAAAAAACCATAATTATCTTTCTTAATATCCTCCCACCACTCTTACTTGATTATGATTAAACAAGTATCCATAGAGATAATTTAGAAAAAAATCAATAAATTAAATATGAGAAATAAATCTTATATTTAGAACTAAAATTAACTCAACAATTAAGTCATATTTAAAGGACCGGAGGAGTATTTTGTTTTGATTTTGTTTGAGTGCGCTTGTCATCTATTTTGATTAATATTACCTCCGCTCTTTTTTATAAGATCCAATTAACCGAAGTACATGGTTTAAAAAATCAGTTAATATTAGTTAAAAGTAATAAATATACAAGGAATGCTTTTTTTTTCAAAATATAATGCCCTTATTTACAAGAGGATAGGTAAGAGAGAAAATGAAAAAGAATATACGGACAAAAGATGATATAACTAAGAGTAAAACAAGCAAAAATACATTTAATACTCAAACAGTTTAAAACTAGCTAGATTCACCGGATAATAATTTAAAAAATTTGAATCTCATGGAAAAGATTATGAGAAGGAGTATACGATACTAAACATATAACAATTGAAGATTAACTGTCAGCCTCTGCCTCAATGGTAAACGGATGCGGCTAGGCTTCTAAATTAATCCTGCTTTTCTCCCAAAATGTGCGTTATATGTTCTTGGATGATGTTATATATGTAGATAAAAATGTTTGGTAGGTAAGAATTAGATCAATTTGGCTTTATACCTTACGCGCATCTTAACATCATTTTATTGACTTCACAAAGAGCCTTTTCACATGTTATAATGATCATTAATTCCTAATTTTCTTTTTGGGGTATTTGTGTCATTCTCCAGGTGTTAGCTATAGAAAATAATGCTATTTAATTAACATATTTTCCTAAAATTATATATATATACTTTTTTTTTTTTACATTTATGCATATTTTCGATACCTAATCATCTATCTATATGATCAGAATGTGCATAGGAGATACTCTCTTGTATCTTTATCATAAGGACACCTTTAGAAGATATGGATAGCTTTTATTATAAGTCACTTGATGGGTGTTAGTTAAATTTTCCTAATACACAGTCTTATCTAAATTCATTAACTATGAAACGATCGAACTTTTTTCTTTGGTTTTCCGCAAAACGTTCTCTGAAAAAATTACTAGAGGTTTCTAGGCAAAATGACAATCTAGCTCTGGCTCCTTTTTTTTTTGGGTTGCTGAGAGGTCTAAAGACAGTTGGATGTACTTTACTTTTCTCTTTATTTCCCTAAAATCTAGTACGTTTTACTAAAATTGTTTTCTATATTGCCAAAACTTGTATGTATATTAAACCAACCTTAGTTAAATTTGAGAAAATGAAAAAATAACTCATGCATATGCAATCCGTAGTGGTTATGATCTTGATCGGTTAATTTGAATAGGATCTATTAATGGTGTATGTTAAAAAAATAACCGGTGGCATATTGGCAAAGGAGGGTGAATGAGGAAAAACAAATGAAATTTTCAAGGATACTATTTTTAACACTTTTTTTATTTTTACCGACTCATTATCAAGTCAAAAATGGATTAGATGATTTTAAAGTGTCCAATTTTCTTCACTACTTTATCGTACGGAGCACGCAACTAGCAAATAGGTTTATCCATTTAGCTAAATAACAACGGAGAAAGACACATAAGAGCTGAAATATGAGGATTTAAAAAATGATCCCACGAAATGTCCATCAGATGTTAATATAAGAGCTAGACAAAATGTTCATTTTGATCCTCCATATAAGATATCAATTCATTTTACCTTTTTGATTTATAATTTTTTTTCAAAATATCCACATTGATCACATATATTAAGAGAGTTCCTAATCAAGGCATAGCTTCCATGCACACGGTTAAAGAAACTAATTTTGGAAAACTTAGACAATTTGTTATAAATAACTAAATTAATTAATTTTTTTAATATATGTAAATTAATTATCTAACTCTTTAAGAATTTTTATGAAACGATCTAAAAGCCCTTACTTGCTACAGGTGAAGTGCAATTCTTATTACTTTACAAAAATTTCATTTCAAAATAGTCCATTTCATAGAAATTAAGACATTTTCAAAGACAGTTTTGAGATTTTCATACTTCAGATCTTCCTCCTTAATTATACAACGTCCTTACTAAGATAACTACGCAAGCTCTGCCGTCAAATCTGACTTGTAAGCTAATCAACAAGTTGCAACTTGCAATTTGCGCCATTAATTAAAAGATGAGAACTTTCGCTTTTTATTTATTTAATAATTATTCAACAACCCCACAACTTTCAGTCAATGGACAGATCTAGACAAGCTGTCAGTGACAGACGACGATGGACAATAATACAAGAAAACTATGCGAGAACGATGATGAAATGATGATAATAATAAAGACCCATATAAAATTATTGGTGTAAAATTAGTTCAACCCCATAGTGGTAGAAACATGAGCAAGAAGCTCTTGGTCAAGTTCAAATTTGCCCATATCATCCTCTGTGAAGTTAACATAGGCTTCAATGCCACCACCGGATCTTGTGTCTTTAAAAGTAACGAAATTCTTGAATTTCCAGGTGGGTGGTCCTGCCCATGTGGGATTCCCCCATCCAAAATCAACCTCGTACACCGGAAACCTACACAGTGAGGTGAACAAAAACACCACCATCTCATTTTTCTCATCAATACCGCTATCGGTCGTCTCTTCTCCATTAGGGTTCCATTCTCTGCTTTCTTGAAGCTTCACAATAAAATCATTGTCCACTTTGTTTAGTTCTTCTCTTAGCTGCCTTCCGAGGTCGTTACAATCTCCTTTCTCGTTTAAAGTTGGAAAGGCTTCGAGAGACAAGTAATAATTCCCGAATGCAAATTCTGGCAATGGAGGTTCCATTCTTGGGCGTAGATTCACTGCGAATCTCAAGTGAATTTTTTTGTCCCCTTTTTCTTTAGTGGCTGCAATATACCGGTTCAGTATGAAAGTTGATAATACTTCTACTCTTGAAGGAGGTTTTTGGTCTTCTATGACTTTTCTGGAATATTCTGTTCTCAGAGATTCTATTACCGATGCTTCAAATACGAACCGCTTTCCCACGACTTTGTGCATACCGATGAAAGAATTCGGGTCGTATCCCGACATGTCTTTTGGCGGGAAGAGTGAGGAAGATTGGAAGTGGGTTCTGATTTTTTCTGCTTCGCCCCGTGCCATGGCGGCCCAGCTCTTGATGAACTGGAAATACGACAGCGCGTCGGCGATCTTGTGGGAGAGGCATACTCCGACGGCTATTCCGCCGCAATCGAAGACATTGAATTGGACACCTAGGACGGTGTCGACGATTTCATCCATGTCGTAGGGAAGCAGTTTCCTGACGTCGGCCGGAGATGGATTGTCGACGACGGTGCTGAGGTGGCACCTGACTCTGGTTTCTACGTAAGGGACACCCTCATCGTTGCAATCTACGAGTAACTTGTCGGTTATGAGTCTTCCGGCGAGTGGGTAGTAGTGACTTAAGACTTGAGACAACGATTTCTTGAGAAGACTGGAAGCTTGGTTGATGTTAAATTTGTTTGCGACATCATCGGATTTGAAGAAATAGACCATAGAATTGTTGATTTGCAGACTAAGCTGGTCGAGGAAGGAGAGATGATAACGACGAAGATGTTGAGGTGTAGGAGACGATGGTCTCACCATTTCTTCAGAGATTACTTCAACCTCGACACTCATTTTCTTGATGCTTCTCTCTCTCTCCTTACCCTGTTGCTTCTGATTAATATTTGCTCATGGGAATTCTTCTTATCAGTACTTAATATAAAGATCTGATGGAATAGGATACCACGGCAAAGAGATTAATTAAGATAATAATGGAGAATATAGTTCCTAAATTTGGACTAATACAATTTTTGATTCTTGAGTTTGCTCTTATTTTAATTTTGGTCTTTCACATTTCAAATCATAGATTTTGGTCCTTCAAATTTTTTTTCATTTAAAATATTGACTTTATAATTTAATAAAAATTTGGATTATTTTACTTCTTAAGAGAACAAAGCCTATGATTTGAAATTTAAAGAGCTAAAATCAAAATAAGAAAAAACTTAAGTAACCAAAAATTATATTATCCCTTATTTATATCACTGTGCGCTTCCGCATCGTTGTCTTCTTGGCTTCTATCTAGTATTAATTAAGATAGTATTTTATTGATTTACATTTCTCTCTAGTATTTTATTATTTCTTTTGAACGATATATATGTATATATATTAACAATATGATTAGTATAGATGGATGATATTTAAGATATTTGTTGCCAACTTGAGAGACACATGGTTTTCGGTATCTGTAGTTGTTCGTTGGCCCCAAAAAAAAAAGTGCCTGTCGTTTTTTCTTGGAATGAAAGGAAAAGTATAACAATATCATGCGAAAGTAGTTGTTTTATAAATTACAAATGACAAAAAGAATAGAATGGAAGTTATATTTTTAAAAGTAATTTTGAAACTTTAGAAGCACGTGATAAATTATTATTATTATTATTATTATTATTATTATTATTATTATTATTATTATTATTATTTATAGTTATAGTTATAGTTACATAATAATACATATCACAAAATTTATATAAACTCCTTTTATCGTTCATCTAAATTTTCTTTTCTTATTTTTTTCCCTTTATTATCATTGTTTTTTGAAAAATTGTCCCTTACGTTAACGATTTAATCTTTTAGACTTTGAAAATATCTTATAATGAGTGTTTTTCATATTTGTAGTTTTTAAATGTTTAAAAGGTAAAATAATACACAGTACTTTAATTTTTTAGTGGTATAATTTTATCCATTATGTTTTAAATTTGGTACAATCTCCCTTTCTTTAATTTATTTATTAGCTAAAGTATACATTTAGTTCTTTAATTTTATAAAAGGTTTTAATTTGGTTTATTGACATTATAAAGTATATTTTTAATTTTTTAACCCTAAAATTATTGGTCTCAAATTATGTTTTTTTTTTGTAACAATCGTGGTTGTTTTGAAAATTAAACTTAACATGTTAATATATGAGATGTATTATTAACATATAAGATCTTAATATCATCATTTTTTATTAATATTTTTAAGGTTAAAGGACTAAAAATGTACTTGTTAAAGTTAAGAGAATAAATGCTTGTTTGTTGCAGCGTTTTGAGGGCCAAAAGTAATTTAAAAATTTAATAAGTTAGTTTGCAAATTCGGAAGCTGTTTGTCACAGCTTTTAACCAATCTGACTTATGGGGCAAAAGCTACTTTTTTTAAGCATAATTACAAAAGCATCTAAAACTTACTTATAACTTATGCAAAAGTAATTTTAAAAAATTAAAAGACATTTTTGCCCTTATATTTATATTGTTCTTGTGCTTCTATTTGCATATTCCTTGTACTTTCCAATCGTTTTTTAGTTATTTATGTTTGATACTCTCTTAAGTAGAAATAATTTTTAACATAGAAATAATTTTTAACATAACTTTTATAATATTTTTACTTTTTAATATTATCTTTCATTTTATATTTATATAAATTGTGCAAAGTACATCATCCAATTAATTATATTAATATTATTTGATTCAAAAATTTTCACATTACTGTGATTTCTAATTTAAATATATTTTTATTCATTACATATAACTTCTTCCAATTATAGTAATTTAAAATCATTATATTTTGTAAATTCATATTTTTAATTGCTTTTCATTATTTAATAAAATTCATATCTATTTTTCTCATTCTACAAACTAAACTTACTTATCCAACTATAATCCAAATAACTTTTCTACTTTACAAACTAACTTTTATAAAAGTTAATCCAAATATAAATCATATTACCCAATCTAACTTTTACCTAATCTCACGTTTCTAAAAGTTAAATTAAAAATAAGTTACTTTTTTACCGTCAATCCAAAGGGACCCTAAATTAAAACTTTCTACAAAGCTAAAAGACTAAAAATATACTCCTCCGGTCCTAATTATAAGACCCAATTGACTTATTTGAGGAGATTAAGGAAGTAAGTTAAGTTGGTTATTTATAATAAATAAGTGTTGTCATTCCTAAAATATCCTTGCTAATTAAGTATATTGGCTAAAACTATCATTATTAGAAGGATTATTTTGGAAAAAAATGCATAAATATAAGAGACAAAATGGATTGGGTCTTATAATTAAGACCAAATAAAAAGTCAAATTGGGTCTTATAATAAGGACCGGAGGAGTACTATAACATTATTTATTTAAAATCACCTTTTTTCTTTTATTCATTTAAAATTAACAATTTTAGGTAACCAAATTATAATTACATAATAAATTGAAATATGAGTGAGATTGCATCAAATTTAATAAATCATTAATAAAATTGCATCAAATTTAATAGATCATGGTACACCTGAAAAATAAGATCACCATGTAAACAATTTAAACCTCCTCCCCGTCATAAGGAATGGGAGACCCACATAACCATTACACACGCTCACCCTTGCTTAGCCACATGGGGTATACTAGCCCACAACCCATCGCCTGGGTGCCAGTCCAAGTATAAACTGTTAGCAAAATGCTAGCTCTTAAACTTAAGTTATACTTGCGAGGAAGAATTATAATGAGGTTTTTAAAAAAATGATTATTAAAAAGTTTTAATAATAATCTAAATAGTCTGTAATGACAAATTTCAAAATGAAAACTTTTAAAACTTGCTTTCTAATTATTTTTTTCATTATAATTCTCCCCAATTAGTCAATTACTAATATTATCAGAAACGGACAAAGTGATTGAACGTGGCAAAGCACTGATTTGGTTCATGTGAAGCTGATGCGGCGAAGCATTGACTCAACTGGTGGGCCCTATTTGTCTTGAAAGCTAATGCCAATTGGTTTAATTTAACACCCATACTGTCCGGGTTTCTTAGCTGTTCACTAAAGCCCCATGTGATCCTCGGACCCTCCGGTTTTCTTGGTTCGTGATTAGAGCCTCGTGTGATACTAGGGCCCACCATAGAGTAGGCGATTATTATGGTGCTAATAATTGAATTAAGTCCAGGTCAAAAAAAAAAAATTGAATTAGGTGTCATTGGTTTGTTGGCTCCACGATATCATGCATGTATAAATTGAAAATCGCCTCTTGCCAGTGTTCAATTGTGAGAGAGTTTGAATCAAACAAAAGTTATTTTTCGATTTACTCAATTGAACCGATTAATCAAATATTATTTTTATAACATTAATAATTAGGTGTATTCAGATGTTAGGATTTTTAAAAGATAATTTATACTTTGAATTGAAGGTAATGCCATATGCATTAAGTTTATTTCCAAATAGAAGCTATCACTTCCTGTTCCAAATATAAGATTTAGTTTGTTATATAATTTACACTAGAAATTAGATCCTATATTTAGGACTAGAGATAGTACATCTTTAAATTGCAGGCCTTTTTTTTTTTTTTACTTTGTCTTATACCACTCTGTTTCTATTTATAAGTCAGTGGGGGGAAAAAATTTGTTTCAAAATATAAGTCATTTGTATGATAATAAATTAGCTTTTTCCAATTTTACGTATGTTAACTTAAATAAATGCACAGAGAAATAAAGTAAATATGGGAGAGAAAATAAAATATATTTTAATACTCTTTTTTTAATAAAAACAAATGTAAAAAATATTAATTCAATAGATTTCTTGATTTGCGAGTTCAAGATACAAATGATTTATAAATAGAAACATATTAATAGTATAAAATACTAGTTTTAAGTTCAAATTATTTCAAAGATCTACTCTTTCCGTACAAATGTCAAATTGCAAATACTAATATAGATAAATGACAAATCTACCAACATCTCAAGTTCAGGGAACAAATACCAGGAACAAGATCAATAACAAAGTAACAAAACAAGAAAAGAACAAACAACAAATATTACATACTTCTTTCCACCAAGCTAAATTTAAGTTTGCTAGCTAATACTCCTCATCGTCTTCCGAAAACAATAATAAAACTTGTCACTTGATAATACAACAGGCTCAAATAGGCCCTTTTTGTAGGCTCATTTGGGCTGAACTGCGAGCCCAAATTTTCCAAAAAGCAATTCTCTTTTTTCTCGTGAAGATTGACAAGGTTAAAATATTTACAATTTGACCCCAAAATTTTCCATTATTTATATTTATTTTTCACCGAAACAATCAATAATTCACGTCACGTCTACCAAACCAAATTTAGCAGAAAATCATCATCAAAATCCATGGGATAAAATATATAAAAATTAATATCTATTAGCCAACTATACCTTGAGTCATGACGCTGACTGTGTTTATCTAGAACCAAAGAATGAAAGCTCAAATTTGACCACGAAACATTGTAAAATCCCCTTTAATTTAGATCCCGGTAAGCTTTGGTGACAATTTACGACCTTTAATTAAGGTTAAACATGCGGAATCTTACATCTTGATTTCGGGCGGATAGATTATTAGTATTGAGAGAATTATGTAAACGGCACGAAACAAAAAGATAGCGTTTACTTCGATCCTGAATATGGGGATAGCCATGTGTCGAGAGAGTTTCTTTAGCACGCTGTGACAGTGTTTACTTCAATCCCGAATACGGTAATTAGTTGAGATGTTTGCTTTAGTCTTATATGTAGAATGTCAATTCATTTTATCTTCTAAATTTACAATTTCTTTTCAAATTATTTTTATTAACTACATATATATAGTGAGATTTTCATCAATGAGGTAATGATTAAAGAGGTGCATATAAGAACTTATACGCTTTTAACATAAATAATTAATTGAACTAATTTTTTAATATATATAATTTAATTATCTAGATGTTATATATAAAATTGAATGGAGTATAGTAGGTTAAGATTCTACTACCTTCGGCAGTTGACTAATTTGATAAAATTAAAGAAAGAAGTTAAGTTAGTTATTTGTAATAAATAGGTATTGTCTTTTCTAAAATATCCTTACTAATCAAGTGTATTAGCTAAAACTATAATTATTGGAAGGACTACCTCGGAAAAGATTGAGTAAATATTAGAGACAAAATGGATTGGAGTCTTATATTTAAGAGCAACATAAAAGTCAAACGGGATCTTATCTTAAGGAACGGATATAGTATATTAAAAGGGTATTTTCTTGTATGTGAATTATTAGGAATGTAGGGATATTTTATTCATTTATTAACGATCCCCATATCGCCTCTAATCATAGACATCTTGGGGTTTGTTGTGAGTTTTTTTTTTTTTTTTTGGGTTTATCAACCATATATAAAATGTTTGTCATTTTATTGTATAGCCATGCATGTTGTTGGCTTTCTCATGAATAAAGAATAAGCCATTAAAAGTTATTGCTATATTTCTATGTATATATCAATTTCATTTTCTAAACACCAAGCTGACTTTCTGTTCTACGATTAAATAAATAAAAAGCGACAAATAATTTTGAATTAAATTAGACTTTTTGGGTCCTCTTCGCCATTAACTATTAAGTTGAATGAGTCAAGCTAGACAACGACATATATATGAGGCCGAACTCATCAATAAACAATTTGCCTTCAGTACATGCCATGTATGCCAAGACAAGGAAGCAATAATACATATAAATAAATCCCTATTCATTAAAAAAAAAAAAAAAGGTAGCAAAAACATTGACCGAGAGCCCTACTGCCCCCAAAAATATTGACAAGCACGGTCTGTATAATAATTGCAAAATTTTTAAATAAATAGTCACTTTGAAGAGTAATTCTTAACAACAAAGATAAAGAAAATAAGAAGAAAAACTAGGTGAACCATAACTAGTTTGTGAATTTTCTGATGTAATTAAAGTTTGTTGATCATATAATTAAGTTGCCAATGTTACCATCAACTTTTAAGAGTTAACTTACATACATTAAAGTTTAACATCTATTTTATTAATTATAACTATAGTTCCTTGAAACCACATAAAATATTTTATGAGAGATGCATATTGCCTGCACGCAACTGCATCAACGTGTGCTAAAAATGTTTGATAATACTGAGTTATATAAGAAAAGGACAAAATTATAGTGACAGATCCGCATAGTTTAGTACTCACGATTCTCTTGATCTCTCGACGATAATATTATAGTCCCATCCATCGGAGTTTTTCAAGTATAAATACTGGCAATAAGGTGAACTGATTGAGCAATAAATCAGAAGAAAATACGAAAAAAGAGGAAAGCACTAAAGAAAATGAATTTTGAAGTTGAAGTAATCTCTAGAGAAATGGTGAAACCTTCGTCTCCTACATCCCAACATCTTCTTCACTACAATCTCTCCTTCATCGACCAGATAACTCCCCAAATCAACAATTCTATGGTCTACTTCTTCAGTGCCGGTGACGTCAGAAACAAGTTTAACGTCAACGAAGCTTCCGATGTTCTCAAGAAATCGTTATCTCAGGTCTTAACTCATTTCTACCCACTCGCCGGAAGACTCAGAACCAACAACTTAGTCGTCGACTGCAACGACGAGGGTGTCCCTTACGTAGAAACCAGAGTCAGGTGTCACCTCAGCAACGTCATCGACAACCCCTCTCCGGCCGACGTCAGCAAACTTCTTCCCTACGACATGGATGAAATCGTCGACACAGTCCTCGGTGTCCAATTCAACGTCTTCGATTGCGGCGGAATAGCCGTCGGAGTATGCCTCTCCCACAAGATCGCCGACGCGCTGTCGTATTTCCAGTTCGTCAAGAGCTGGGCAGCCATGACACGAGGCGAACCAGAACAAATCAGATCCCACTTCCAATCTTCCTCACTCTTCCCGCCAAAAGACATGTCCTCAGGATCCGACCGGAGTTCTTCAACCCTCGGGAAGTACAAAATCCTGTGCAAGAGGTTCGTGTTTGAAGCTTCTGTAATAGAATCTCTGAGAACCAAATATTCCAAGATGATGGAGAACGTTCTAGAAGGCCACCAAAAACCCCATTCAAGAGTAGCAGCCTTATCAACTTTCCTCTGGACACGATTTATGGCGGCCACTGAGGAAGAAGAAGGGAACAAAAAGATTCACTTAGTGGGATTCACAGCGAATCTTCGCCCAAGAATGGATCCTCCATTACCAGAATATGCGTTCGGCAACTATTACTGGTATCTTCGAACTTCTCCGACGTTAGACGAACAAGGAGAGTGTAAGGATCTTGGAATACTGCTAAGAGAAGAGCTGAATAAGATCGACAAAGATTTTATTGTGAAGCTCCGAGAAAGCGGAGGATGGAACCCAGTAGAGAACAGAGAAGAGATTGTTAGAGCAATTGAGAAAGGAGAGACTGTTCTCTTAAGTTTCACATCATTGTGTAGGTTTCCAGTTTACGAGGTTGATTTTGGATGGGGAAATCCAACTTTGGCAGTACCACCTGCGTGGAAATTCAAGAATTTGGTATCTCTCAAAGATACCAAGTCAGATGGCGGCATTGAAGCTTATGTAAGCTTGACTGAGGATGACATGGCTAAATTTGAACGTGACGCGGAACTCCTTGCTCATATTTCAAATAAGCTCTCTTTGTAGGCTCATTTGGGCTGAACCGCAGAGCCCAAATTTTTGTAAAAATGCTCTTTCTCGTCCAAGCCCCATCCAAGGATTTGGGTGGTCCGTCATCGAAGGTATTAATTCACATGAAAATTGATGAAGTTTAAAATATTTACAATTTGACCCCAAAATTTTCCATTATTTATATTTATTTTCATTGAAACAATCAATAATTCACATCATGTCTACCAAACCAAATTTAGCCGAACATTGTCATCAAAATCACAAATAAACATGGGATAAAATACGCAAAAATTACTATTTATTATCCAATTATGCCTTGACTCATGCCGCTGATTGTGTTTATCTAGAACCCAAGAATGAAAGCTCGAAATTGACCATGAAACATTGTAAGTTCCCCTTTAGATCCCAATAAACTTTGGTAACACGTTAAGACCTTTAATTAAGGTTAAACATTTGGAATCTTACATCTTGACTTCGGGATAGATTATTGGTAGAGAGAAAATTATATAAATGGCACGAACAAAAATAGTCAGGTGTTGGCATGGGCTATAGGGATAAGATAACTACGTGTCACGAGCGCTTCTTTGGCACCCTGTGATAGTGTTTACTTCAATCCTGAATATGACAACTAGTTAGGGTGTTTACTTTAGTCTTATCTATAAATTTTCAATTCATTTGATCTCTTAAATTTAAAATTTTTTTTTCAAATTATTTCTGTTAATTACTTATATGTATATATAGTGAGATTTTCGTAAATGAGGTAATGATTAAAGAGGTATATATAAGAAACTCTACACTTTAACATAAATAATTAACTTAACTAATTTTTTTAATATTTATAATTTAGTTATCTAGATGTTGTATATAAAATTGAATGGAGTACAGTATTTAAGATTATATATTAAAAGGGTATTTTCTTGTATGTGAATTATTAGGAATGTAGGGATATTTTACTCACGATCACCATATTGCCTCTGATCATAGATATGTCGGGGTTTGTTGTACGTTCACCTGTCAAAGAAAAATTAGAATTTTTTTTTGTTTACCAACCATATATAAAAGGTTTGTTATTTCATTATATAGCCATGCATGTTGTTGGCTTTCTCATGAATAAAGAATAAGCCATTAAAAGTTATTGTTATATTTCTATGTACATAATAATTTCATTTTCTAAACATCAAGCTGACTTTCTGTTCTAATATTAAATAAATAAAAAGCGACAAATAATTTTGAATTAAATTATACTTTTTGGGTCCTCTTCGCCATTAACTATTAAGTTGAATGAGTCAAGCTAGACAACGACATATATATGAGGCCGAACTCATCAACACACAATTTGCCTTCAGTACATGCCATGTATGCCAAGACAAGGAAGCAATAATACATATAAATAAATCCCTATTCATTAAAAAAAAAAAAAGAGTAGCAAAAAATTGACCGAGAGCCCTATATTGCCCCCAAAAATAATTGACAAACACAGTCTGTATAATAATTGAAAATTTTTAAATAGATATTCACTTGGAAGAGTAATTCTTAACAACAAAGATAAGGAAAATGAGAAGAAAAATTAGGTGAACCATAAGTAGTCTATGAATTTTATGATGCAATTGAAGTTGGTTGATCATATAATTAAGCTGCTAATGTTACCATCAACTCTTAAGAGTTAACTTACATACATTAAAATTTAACGTCTATTTTGTTAACTGTAACTATGGTTTCTTGAAACCGCATAAAATATCTTATCAGACGCATGTTGCTTGCACGCAACTGTAGCAACATGTGCCTAAAAATGTTTGATAATACTGGGTTATACTAGCTCTGGTTCTTAATATAAGAGCTCATTTAATTTTTATTTTGGTCTTAAATATAAGATCCTAATCCACTTTGTCTCTCATATTTATCTTATTTTTTTTCAAAATAATGTTTGTAATAATGGTAATTTCAACCAATACACTTTATTAACAAGGATATTTTTTAAAAAATAATACCTATTTATTACAAATAACTAATTTAACTAATTTTCTTAATATAATCAAATTAGTCAACTAATTGTTATATTAAGAACCGGAGGAAAGTAATAAGTAAATGTTCCGCTGAAGACTACATAAGAAGAGGACAAAATTATAGTGAGAGATCCACATAGTTTAGTACCCACGATTTTCTTGATCTCTCCACGATAATATTCTCATCCATCGGGGTTTTACGAGTATAAATACTGGTAATAAGGTGAACTGATTGGGCAATAAATCAGAAGAAAACACGAAAAAAGAAAAAAGCACTAGAGAAGATGAGTGTTGAAGTTGAAATAATCTCTACAGAAACGGTAAAACCTTCGTCTCCTACATCCCAACATCTTCGTCACTACAATCTCTCCTTCATCGACCAGATAACTCCCCAAATCAACAATTCTATGGTCTACTTCTTCAGTGCCGATGACGTCAGAAACAAGTTTAACGTCAACGAAGCTTCCGATGTTCTCAAGAAATCGTTATCTCAGGTCTTAACTCATTTCTACCCACTCGCCGGAAGACTCAGAACCAACAACTTAGTCGTCGACTGCAACGACGAGGGTGTCCCTTACGTAGAAACCAGAGTCAGGTGCCACCTCAGCAACGTCATCGACAACCCCTCTCCGGCCGACGTCAGCAAACTTCTTCCCTACGACATGGATGAAATCGTCGACACAGTCCTGGGTGTCCAATTCAACGTCTTCGATTGCGGCGGAATAGCCGTCGGAGTATGCCTCTCCCACAAGATCGCCGACGCGCTGTCGTATTTCCAGTTCATCAAAAGCTGGGCAGCCATGACACGAGGCGAACCAGAACAAATCAGATCCCACTTCCAATCTTCCTCACTCTTCCCGCCAAAAGACATGTCATCGGGATCCGACCGGAGTTCTTCAACCCTCGGGAAGTACAAAATCCTGTGCAAGAGGTTCGTATTTGAAGCATCTGTAATAGAATCTCTGAGAACCAAATATTCCAAAATGATGGTGAACGTTCTAGAAGGCCACAAACAACCCCTTTCAAGAGTAGCAGCCTTATCAACTTTCCTCTGGACACGATTTATGGCGGCCACTGAGGAAGAAGAAGGGAGCAAAAAGATTCACTTAGTGGGATTCACAGCGAATCTTCGCCCAAGAATGGATCCTCCATTACCAGAATATGCGTTCGGCAACTATTCCTGGTATCTTCGAACTTCTCCGACGTTAGACGAACAAGGAGAGTGTAAGGACCTTGGAATACTGCTAAGAGAAGAGCTGAATAAGATCGACAAAGATTTTATTGTGAAGCTCCGAGAAAGCGGAGGATGGAACCCAGTAGAGAATAGAGAAGAGATTGTTAGAGCAATTGAGAAAGGAGAGACTGTTCTCTTAAGTTTCACATCATTGTGTAGGTTTCCAGTTTACGATGTTGATTTTGGATGGGGGAATCCAACTTTGGCAGTACCACCTGCGTGGAAATTCAAGAATTCGGTGTCTCTTAAAGATACCAAGTCAGATGGTGGCATTGAAGCCTATATCAGCTTGACCGAGGATGACATGGCTAAATTTGAACGTGACGTGGAACTCCTTGCTCATGTTTCTACCACGGGGTTGAAATAATGTTACACTATAATGTTATATTATCTCCGATCCTAATTATAAGACCTCGTTTGTAGTTTACAAACGATGTCTTATAATTAGAACCGGAGATAGTATATTTGTAGAGCTTAATTGGGTTCTCATTTTCCATTTATGCAAAGTGTATGTGTTCTTGTCAGCTGCCCACTACTCATCTGTCATTGAGAGCTTACCTGTTAATTTGTTGGTTGAAAGATATGGGTTTGTTTTAAGACTATAAAAGGCTACGTTTTGTTTCTTAAACAAAATGTTTACTTGTTTATTTGAAAAATCAATTTGTTTTTATAGGCCTGTAACGCAACTTGTTAATTTGCCGGTCACAAGTGGATATCATGTGGCGCCCAGCAGGTTATTATTTTAGCAAAGTCAAGATTGTAATTAAGTTGAGTCCAAAAAAAGATTGTAATTAAGTTATTTGATTACGTATAAAGTAAATATATAAGAGTAGTAGTTTTATCTAGTAAAATAAGATTAGTGACTTAATCTGCAATGTATCATAGACCACTATTCCTAAACTTGAGGGACCACTTAATCTAGAAATTTCTTTGGCAGTCTCTCTCCCATACAAGCATCTTCTTTTTATTTGAAAGCCACTTCATAATGCCATTCCTTCCTTTGATGTTCTAAGGTAACATCATCTCGATGTCTCAGGATCATGTCTTTTTGGATGTCAAAATGATGAAACTTTAAAACATCCCATGCCCTTATACGAAAGCAGTTTGGCTTGGATGCTTTTTAATTAACTTGTACAACATGTCTTTTGCTAATTTCAAGTGTTCGCTTATTAAGCTGATAATTGTTATTAATCTTACAAGGATGGAGAAACTTGGACGTTATTAAAACACTACAAGGAATTGTAGAAGTAGCAGCGGAACCTTTCTAGCGGTTAAACAAAACCGCTAGAAATTTCAGATATTTCTAGCGGTTCCTATAAAAACCGCTGCAAAATACAGACGGTTTGACCATTAAACGCACATTTCTAGCGGTTACCCCCTAACCGCTAGAAAATTAGAGAGCTAGAATACTCCCCGGGCTTTGGCGGGAACTTGGCGCCAAATTTGTAGCGTTTACTTTCTAGCGGTTCAGGCTAATAAACCGCTAGACACCGAAAAATTCTAGCGGTTGATGCATGAAGCGTTAGAAATTTTTTTCATTCCCCGAGGAGTTTAGAAATTTCTAGCGGTTCGGTCCTTAACCGCTAGAGATTTCTAGCGGTTCTGGACCGAACCGCTAGAAAGTCTGGCGGTTCGGTCCTGAACCGCCAGACTTTCTAGCGGTTCTAGGCCTGAACCGCTAGCAATTTCTAGCAGTTCGGCTAGAACCGCTAGAAATTCTAGCGGATCGGTCCTGAACCGCCAGCATTTCTAGCGGTTCACGGCCGAACCGCTAGAAACTGCTAGCGGTTCAGGCCTAGAACCGCTAGAAATTCCCAACGGTCATAACCGCTAGAAACTGCTAGCGGTTCAGGCCTAGAACCGCTAGAAAGTTCCCAACGGTCATATGACCGTTGGGAATTTCTAGCGGTTAGGCACAAAACCGCTAGAAATTTCTAGCGGTTTTGTGCCTAACCGCTAGAAAGTCTCGGTCTATATATACCCCCCCACACTCTCACTTCTTCAATCGTTCTGGAAGCGAAGCTCTGTTGAATTTTCTTCACAAACATATTCGAGTTCTGATTCAGTTGCAGATCCTTATTTTCAGGTAAAATAGTAATTTATTGATAAATAATTTTTATTTTATGTTTTATTTTATTAATTTTATTATGTTATAGCTTATAAATTAATTTTTTTTATTTCATTTATAAATAATTACTATTTGTTGTTATTAGGATGCCTCGTCGACACGGGAAAGACCCAGTTGATCCTGAGAGAGCTGGACCCAGTGAGGTTCATCATGATGCTGATGAGCCATTTCCCAGCATTCATGACTACGATCTGAGCGAGGAGGATATCCTCAGTTTTATGGAGCAGGATGGTGTTGAGCGGACTGAGGAGGCTCATTTTACTGGGGATGAGCAACCCCATGCTGATGCTGCTGACGAGGAGGAGGAGGAGGAGGAGCAGGATCAGGGGAATGAGTATCCCCAGGCTGCACAGCGTCCTGCTCCGAGACGTCAGGCTGGTTATGAGGTGGAATTTGTCGGTAAGTATTTATTTAACTTTTTAAAGTTTTGATCAGTATTTAATTTATATAGAAATTATATTAATTTATTGATATATAATTTATTTCTTAATTAAATTTTGCAGACACTGAGGGGAATAGGTCCTATCGGAGGCTGACAGCCAGAGAGCTGTCTATGATGACGGGCGGACGAGTGGTTGTGCCGCTCAATGAGTTGGGCCAACCGACGAAGAAAGGTGGCCAGTTGTACAACAAGTACGTGCGCCTCCTTGGTCAGCAGTGGACGCTGTTCCCCATCTACGTGCAGGACTGGAAGAAGATCACCTCAGACAAGAAGCAGCAAGGCTGGGAAATAATGAAGGTAATATAAAATTGTTATTTATAATTTTTTTTAATTTAAATAAATGATTATATATTTTGTTTTCAAATAATTTAATTGTTTGATTATAATTTTTTATTTATTTAATTTGTTTGTTATTTATAATATTTTTAAAGTAGTTAAATGAATATATATTTTAATTTAAATTATTTAAAAGTAGTTAAATGAAAATAATTTGTTATTGATTTCATTAATTTATTACTTATAATAATTTTAAATTTAGTTGAGTAAAAATATTTTTTCATTTAAATTACTTAATTGTTTAATTATTATTAACTTTGATTAATTTATATTTTATTTATAATATTGTTAAATTAGTTAAAAACTAATTATTTGTTTTTGATTATTGAAATTGCTTAATTATTTGTTTATAATTTGTTATTTAGTTAATTTATTATTTTAATCATAGAGTAAATTTATTCTAGGGGAGGAGTTGAGGGCTGACACGATCAAGAGGCTTGGGATGGCATGGAAGAACAGGAGGGCCGACCTGTGGAGGGAGAAGAAAGGTGACGGGACGAGGCCCCTCCAGGAGATACTGGCAGATGTACCTGGTGGAGTCCCGGACCAAGACTGGTCCACTTACGTCTATTTTAGGATGACGGCTGACCAGATGGTATGATAATATTGTATTAATTATAATTTCTTTATTTTTTATCCGACTTGACTCATTTAATTTAATTTTTTTACATTTTGCTTCAGGCTCTTTCTAGGAGAAATGCTAGGAGCGTCAGGCATCAGACGATACGTCATAGGGCTGGATCCAGGAGCTTTGCGATCACTTATGACGAGATTGTGAGTACTTGAAATAAATTTATTAAATATGTAGATGTATTTAATTTGTAACTAATTATTTCTTTGATTTCATTTACAGATAGAAAAGACGCAGCAGGAGCGGGGATACACGCCCACTTATGGCGAGATGTGGCCGATGGTGTATAGACCCCGAGACGGGCGTGCGTCGGATGAGGTTGAGGAGATAGCGGTAAGTAATAAATTAAATATTAATATAATATCACAGTGTAGATATCATTATATTATAATTAACTTCTTTATATTAATTTTGGTAGGCACGGATGACTCAGGTCGATTCCGAGTTGCGTGAGTCTCAGGGGTCTGCCTTGGATCCCACGCCTCACTTTTAGCGGGTCGTGGCCGGCCGCAGCACCCTGGTCGAGTTAGCGGGCTTGGACTTGGACCTACACCGACTAGGTTGCCCCGCTCAAGTGGCGCTGGCCCTTCATATACTGCTGGGAGCTCTCATGCGAGTGCGAAGCGGCCGGGTTCCTCATCTTCAGAGGAATTGCGAGAGGAGCTCAGACAAGAGTTCAAGGCCAGGATCGTGGAGCGTGATCGTCAGTTCCAGGAGCGTGATCGTCAGCTCCAGACGCAGCTTGACCAGCTCTTGGCAGCTGCTACGGCTCTGCGTCATGTGGTGGTCAGTATAGCTCCAAATATCTCGGTTCCTGACATCCCCGACCTACACATGCCACCAGTCCCGCCCCTACCCCCGCCATCCGCCAGTCCAGTCCCAGCAGGTTGAGCGGCCTGCCCACCGTCAGCCGGAGGATTCAGCAGAGGATGATCCCGATGATGCTGCTTCTGCCCCCCACCCATGATTTGCTTTCATTGTATCGGATTTTATTAGAATCTTGATTTTACGGTTTTATATATTATTTAGATATTTATCTAAATTTTATATTTATTTGTTTCCTTTATTGATTTATTTCTATAATTTTATTTATGTCAAGTACTAATTAATATTGAAATATTTATTTATTTATTACAACATCAACATTACAATTTATTAAACACGTTAAACATATTAATTACTCGAAATAATTCTATAATCATAATTATAATATATTTTCGTTGTTATTAATTTATTGTGCGGTTTTCTAAAAATAATAGCGTTTGTAGCGGTTCAAAAACCGTTAGAAAATTCAACCGCTAGAAAATTTGACAATTTTCTAGCGGTTCACGAGAACCGCTAGAAAATTGTCAAATTTTCTAGCGGTTCACCAGAACCGCTAGAAAATTATCAAATTTGACCGAATTTTCTAGCGGTTATAAAACCGCTAGAAATTCAAAACAGATGGAGAGAAAATTCCCGTTAAACCGCTAGAAATTTCTATCGGTTTGTAACCGATATTTAGAATTTCTAGCGGTTAATAACCGCTGGAAATTGAAATTTTCCGTTAAAACCGCTACAAATTTGTAGCGGTTTTGTAACCGCTACAAAAAAATGACCGTTCCTCCACCCTCCTTTATAAGCTGAAGCACTTCAACTGAATTTCATTTTAACTTCTCTTTGAGCTCTGTGGCATATTTTCACGAAATTTGAGCATTATTAGTCATGGATAGGTCGTGGATCAACTTGCACCGGTCGACTCCGCAATACTTGGCTGGTCTAAACTATTTCTTGGATTTTGCTTTCGCCAATGCTGCCGTAAATGGTAAGATTCAGTGTCCCTGTCCTAAA